TGGGGGGGGGAGGGGGGTACGCCGGCCGGGGCTGAGCAGCGGCAGGGGCCGGGGCTCCATTCTCCAGCCCCCCACCCGCCCACCCCCCCCTGGATTTTCCGCGGGTGTCGCCTTCAGAAGCCAACTCCTGGCTTCTCTGATAAATCACCATTTTCCCTGCCACCGCTGCAGAGGCTGGAGGACTTTCCCCATCTCAGAAGGTCTCTTCTTCTCAGATCCTAACCCTCCACCCGTCCCCATCTGCCCCCCCACCCCGAAGCCCCTCCAATTGCTTACAGTTGGGCTTCTGGAAATCCAGTGCTGTCCCTGGGGCCCAGCCCCTCTTCTTCTCCATTTTGGGGTCCTCATGAGCAAAATCATTCTGTTTCTTCATTGCCCATCCCACTTCTGCCGGCGCCTCCATCAAGAGATTTCCCTACAATAACCCCCCTTTGCCTTCGCGTTTCAGACCCCAGAGGCTTCGGGGATCCCCAGGGCAGGGGAGTGGGGGGAGATTTCATCAGATTCTCCCCTCTCCGCTCTAGATGAATCTTGAGCCTCTGAAGTGAATGTGGTGTTTGCTGATCCGAGATGCCATTGAATTTGGATTTTATTCATTTCTTGCTTGTCTATCCTGGCAGAAGGGGGGCTCCTTGAAGGTGTAGTTGTTTGGGAGGGGTGAGCTTGTTGTTCTTTAACCCAAACCCCAATTCTCCATGTACATTCGTTCCTTCTGGAAAACCGAGGACCGAGGAGAAAGGGAGAGGGAAAGGGGAATTCGGTCCCCAAGAAATGCGGATACAAAAGACATTTTAGTAAATAAGGCTGGGAAACCAGGCACGGTGCTTGGGGGGCTGTGCACATATGGGGGGACTGACTGAAGAATAAACAGCCCTTTGGGAGCCCCAGCTCCGGGGAGTCCCCTTGTTTTCCAAGTGGCCCCATCGCTGCTACCCCGCCCTCCACAGGTCCCAGGGGCCAGGGGGGAAGACACACTGAAACCAGTTCTCTAAATTACACCTCGCCTCTCCCCAGTCTCCAGCCCCCTGCATTCCGGAAAAGTTTAATTAAAGAATCTTCCTCTCCTGGATGTAGGAGAGCCTTGGCCTAGGGGTGGGAGGTGTGGAGGAAGAATTTGGGATCTGTGAGTAAGAAGTGGGGCTGTGGTCCCTAGGGTGAAAGTCAGAAAGAAGTGACCCGGGTGCGGTACTGCCTGCATGCCCTCATCCTCCCTGGCTTGCCGCCCCTAAGCCCAGGGAAGCGAGAGCAGAGCCAACAAGATTTGGGGGCCACACCCTGAGTCTTCCTTCAATTGTTTGGGGGTGGCAGCATTTGTGTCTGGGTGTTTGGGGGGCCTCTGGGAGAGAGGGTAGGGATAGGAGCTGGGCATGGCCAAAGGTCTCTGTTGAGAAGGTGCTGGGAGTTGCTCCTGGGACAGACACCCAAGGGGAAGTCTTTCTTCTGCCCGGCTCATCCTGTCTTTCCTGAGGCATCGGGCTGGCCGGAGGCCTCCTGTACATAAAGAAGTCCATGGGGTGGCTGGGGCAGCCAGGGATTCCAGGATGGAGGTTCTGCCAGTCACGGGAGGGCTGCTGCAGAAACCAGTCATGCCTCACCAGCCATTTCTGACCCTCTTCCTATCCTGGGCCAAAGCCATGCTGTTCTTCACCTCCACAGGGACCCTGCTGGGGGAGAGTAGAAAGAGATTTGGAGTCCTGTAGATGGCAGGGACTGAGGAAGAGAGACCAGGCTCCCCTGCCCTATGAACTGGAGAAGGGCACTTCCTGGGGCAGTGCCGGTGAGATAGATGGTGGTGGGGTCTGGAATGTAATGGTATCTTGGGGAGTATCCAGAGAGGGACCACGCAATAGGAAGAAACACTGGGAAACTCTGGAAGGCCTAGACATCAGCCCTAATGTAATGCTAGACACATGGCTTGTTTGGGGATTGGTGGGGGACAGGGATGCTGCTTTGTCTGAGCTGAGGAGAGAGACCTGTGTGTGTGCTTGTGTGTGTGTGTGTGTGTGTGTGTGTGTGTGTGTGTGTGTTCTGGGTCTATGACCCTAAGAGGTGTCATCTGTACACCAGTGTGTCTCTGTGTGTAGGACTGTTTGTGCCTGTGACTGGGCAATTGTGGATGTGGAATCGTGCAGGGTGTGCCTGGGGGATCTGCAACCCATGACAGGGTGTACTGTGTCTCTGCATACAAGTGTCAGCAAGTGGCTGATCCTATGATGTGTGTGTGAGAGAGAGAGAAGTCTAGAAGTATATTTCCTATGCAGAGGTCAGTGCTTGTGTCTTCTTGTGACGCTGTGCGTGACTGTGTTCATGACCAGGCATGTGAGTGGTCTGTGTGTGTGTGTGTGTGTGTGTGTGTGTGTGCTCTGTGTGTGTGTGTGTGTGTGCGTGCGCGTTCCCGTGCGCATGCCTTCACAACAGTGTAAGGGGAAAGCCCCACAGATGTCTTTGTGCATGAATATCAGTGCTCATGGCCATGACCTGATTGTGCTTATAAGTATGAGAGTGAGCTTTATGACCATAGCTGTGTGAGGGCTGTATCTGAGTCTGCCTGTGATCCTGTCCCCAAGTGGCACTGACTGTGTCTGGGCCCCTGGCTCTGTGTCCGTGGACACATTTGCAGACATCTGACATGTGGTTGTGAATGAGCTTGGGAGCCTGGTAGGCACCTGTGGCCCTGGAGGGATGGTCCAGCAGGAGGCAGAGGTCTCCTGAGGTGGCTGCAAGGTCACAGCTGACCTGGGATCTCAAGCTGGGGAGGTGAGGGCAGATCCCTCTTTGGCACCAGGTCAACCTGTCTGCCTGAGGACTGTGGTCACTGACCCTCCTCTCTGAGGTTGTTTTTCTTTGGTCTTGGAGTTGGGGTGGAGGGTGAGTCACCTTCTTGGGCCGAGGCTGAGACTGGAGAGCGGAGGGGCCCAGATTCCTGATCCCGCTCTGCCCCCAGGCAGTCAGATTCCAGTCCTTTAGCATCTGGGCCCATCATGCCTGTCCTCTTTGGCCCACCCAGCTCACACATTACCCAGGAGGCATTTACAGGGGAAGTCACTCAGCTGGGATTTCTGTCCATGCCACCCCTCGGGGAAGGCACCCCCAACCCCAGCAGCCTGCACTGCTCAGGCCCCAGCCCTGAGAGAAAGCTGACTGAAAGGGAGAGCTGTAAGGCGCCTCCTGACTTACTCGAGGGACTCCCAGCCAGGTAGTGGCAGAGCTGGGACAGGAAGCAATGGCAGCAACGCTGATTTCTAGAATTCTCCTTTTCAGTTCCAGTTAACTCCTGGTGGAGAAACTTGTCTTTCATCTCCTTCTTGAGGGAAAAATGAACCTATCTTATTAGGGTCTAGCTCAGGGCCTGCTACATTCCAGAGGCAGATGCCCTGATGGAAGGGCCTGTGCTGGGGGTCAGCAGCTCACCCAGCCTCTGTGTGACTGAGGACAGTGACTCACCCATCTGGGCCTGTTTCCTCACCTTTTATTCAGGGATCACCAGCCTGCCCTGCCTCATGGCTTGGGTGAGAGTGTTTTGCAGAGGACATGGGCAGTGAGCTGAGAAATAGGACATCTGAGTTCTCCTTCCACCATCCCGGGACCCATCCCCCCCCCCAGGCCTGCCTCGGTTTCCCCATCTGTCAGATGTCACGCTGCCTCCCCCACCCACTCCCACCTCCACTGCCTTTCAGAGGCTTGTGAACATGTTCAGTCAAACCCCATGGGGGTCAGTGGGCTGGGCCCGGAGAGGCACCTGGAGACTGCGGGGGAGGAAGGCCCCAGGCCAGGTGTTAACACTTGTAACAGGCAGGAATTACAGCTGGCTGGGGCTGGGGCTGGCGAGGAGCTGAGCTGGCTGGAGGCTGTTGATCCCACAGACAGACAGACAGATGGGCAGATACCAGATCGGATGGATGGCCAGGCTTTAACCGGGTGGTCTCC